TTTTACCGTGAAATAAAGTGGTCGTTTTTGGCTGCTAGTCGGGAACCCCAACTGTCAGCCAGACACGGTCGAAAAACTTTTTGCGTTTAAACGCGTTTTTGAAAATTTTTGTCTGCTTGGGTGATCACAAGTAAGCGAACAACATCGGAATGTTATTTTTTGCGTACAAACAATATCAGGTTGAAATAACCAGATGCGTTCCAATGTCTTAGCATTTCTCAGTTCCATGTGTATGGATTTCTTGAACATATTCATAACCATAAGAGCAAGATTTGCATTATTATAAATAACACCAACGATAAATTCATCTTTTTTACATACGAGAGGATGTTTTCGTTCTCTAACGAATTCAATTACTGGAAATAGTATGTATTCCATAATCGATGAAGCACATTCATTTGTAGCAACAAAAAGAACTGTCTCAGAACATGTACATGATATCCAATTTTGTTCTCGAATGGTATCTACTTCTTTTATAGACATTGTATTTTCGTTAATACAAAAGATACTATTTGCTCCAAGAACAATAAATTGACCTAAGGTTACCGACCAACACATGTCACGAATTTCACCGTATGACCATAAAGTTTGTGTGATTATATTCGCATCTCGATCAAATAAACATAAATTTGGATGTTGATGTATCAGTAAATGTTGACCGTCACAAGCTAATGATTGAAAACCTCCTTCAGGACGATGTATAGCTTTGTATGTATGCGAAAGACTCGATAAATTAACCTCATGGTCATTCGTGTTCTTAATATCAATGAACGTATCGTCTAGTATTAATGGATGAGTAGTGATTTTGAAACATGTTTCTTCTAAATCCATTATACTGCTTCTAATCTGACTCATCTTTGATATCAATAAATCGATATCTTGATGAGTTGTTTTTTGTGCATTGTTAAGTTCAGTTAACTTGATTTGTATTCGATTGAGTTCTTCTCTTTGTTGATGAACTTTTTCATTAGCAAGTCGATCAAGTTCTTGACATTTTTGTTCGAAAAATAAGTCTATCTTAGTATAGCAATCTTCACGCCATTGTTCGAGCTTTCGACGACTATTACCAATTATTTTTAAAATATTTAATGTTTTAAGACGATCGTCAAGTATATTCGTTTCATTATTAAATCGGTTTAGATGAGAAATGGATAATTTATTGTATTCATTAAAATGTTGTAAGCACAAATTTTGCTGGCAACAATGACACAAACTACGTGACATGTGAATGCATTTTTTTACGGAACAAGATTGATGCATTTGATAAAAATAGTTAATAGAATTGCTCTGTCGTGTATATATAATGTGACAAGAAGAAAAAAAATCCTACGTTATTTCTCAATAAAAATGCACCTTAAGAGAATAAATGAAAAAGTATTGTTTTCTTTTAATTATACAATGAAAACTAAAATTTCATCCGACCTTCAAATAAATATGAAGAAAATGTAAGAATACTGATTTTACATAAATAAAGTAGAATAAAAAGTAATGTGAATACTTGTTTCATTTACTGCTGATCGTTATGTAAGGACACACATATTCGCAGATTGAACAATAAAGGGTGTGGGTGCGGGTGTTTGCAGTCTTCATATAGTTAAACCCACACCCTCATTTTGATACATACCATTCATTTCCACTTCGATAAATAATATGAGCAAATCTCTCGGCATTTGCACATAAATTAAATAATCTACTATTGACTTCAATTATACTGAATCAGTGGCGTAGCTAGGATTTTTTGAGTGTTGGGCCGCTTCCCAGCTAAATTATTTTGAGACATGGGCTGTATTGGGCAATTGAAAATCGATTGGGCCGCAACTGGAAGTTGTCAAAAGTTTATTGCTACCTCCAAATCTATGTTGTTTCAAGGAAATTTGTCATTACCCTATTAGAAATGACCGTGTTTGCTAATGTTCTCTTTTTCATAAATTAATTCTTTATTTCTCAAAATCTATCTATTTATTTCTACAGTAAAAATCATGATTAATCATAAATCGAACGAAAAGAACATCAGCTCACTTTATCATCTCTCAACACGTAATGATGACTGCTGCTCTATATTATATTCCTAGCGAGTCCTTTCAACCTTGTAAGTTTTTTTAACGGCTGATATTTTTAGTTATCTGTACATCCTCTGAACTATATATTATCATCCCATGTAAAAAAATTAAGGGTATAATCAGATTAAAATCGATCACAAAACGATTAAAATTATGCATCTTTTAGTAAATTTTTAATCAAAAATAATCGAAAAAATCAAAATTTCATTGATTATTTTGACCTATTTCGATTAAAATTGATGAAAAATTGATGAAAAAAATCAATTAAAATTGATGAAAATTAATTGAAGATTTTTTACGCATAACCGACAGAAATCAATTGAAACCGGGTTTTTTTCATGAATTTTTCATGAATTTTAATCGAAATTGATCAAAATAATCAATGGAACTTTGATTTTTTCGATTATTTTTGATTAAAAATTGACTAAAAGGTGCATGATTTTAATCAATTTTTAATCATTTTGTAATCGGTTTTAATTTGACTATACCCTTAATTGTTTTACATGGGATTCCATTACTGTTACTACTAATTCCTAAGTGAAATTTTCAAACGGCACTCATTAACATCTTCTTTTGCGAATTGGAATTTTTATTAATCAAATTTCGAAAGCATTGTCCACACTTATACCGTTCAAGTATTCGGTTTAAGCTACGTCTGTCGTTTGCGTTCAAAAGAATTCTATGTTCTCTCGCAAGATTCATAAATATACACTGATATCTTTATCACCAACTTTAAGTGAGGGCATAAGTTTGTTTCAGGTTAAAATATGATAGAATTGTCATTATTTTGATTATTGCTTCGGTGGAAAATATCGTCAATTGACTTTTCTCGATCATTTGAATATATTTCACCAGCAATCAGCGTTATAAAATAACATCATCTACGTTTTTAAACGTCAATGCATGTATATCAATATTTTTCGGTGTTGGGCCATTGCTATTGCCTAAAAAATCTATTGGGCAATAAATTTTTAACCGTTGGGCAATTGCCCGTTGCCCCCCCCCCCTGGCTACGCCACTGATACTGATAAATCAAAAAAGAGATCATCTGCACAGATGATAAAAAAATTCTTATGCTTTAAACACAATGATTATTCCATTAAAAATGAAAAATTTCACTATTCATTCAGTATCACCAGCATGTCATCGAAAGCGTTACATTGAGTTATCTATCTGATATTGAATATTTCTGTTATTTATTTGAATAATTAACATGTGTTTCATTGAATTATGTGTGCGTCTTCTATATATTCCCACCCACAGTCTTCGTTCTCTTGTCATGAAACTTTTTTCCATTCCTGTAAACCAGTTACATGTGAGTGAAAACTGAGTCAACAGAAAAGCAACTCTTTTTTCTTTCTCTCTGAGAATAAGTAGTATATCTGTGCAACAGAAAGATATATAACAAAGAGTGGGTTTTTTAGAAGACAGTTTTGTTTAAAAATTCTTGGTTACATTATTTTAACAACTCACAAGACATTGTAGAGTAAGATTCGAATAAAATGGCAATACATTCTGACTAATATGTACCTATAATTTCTTCATTATACTTTAGATTTGTTACGAAATATTTGATGGCATCAAGTCTCTTTAAGAGAAAGAATGAAGATGATGGAACTGATGGTTTTTACTCCACTGAATCAAAAGTTCCACGCGTCGTTTCTAATACCAAACTATGTAAACTAACACATTCCGAGGCACCGAAAGATGCAATAGCAAAAAGAAAATCGGATATGAATTGTACAGAACTCGACTGTCATTGTAATCACCCGCATGGGAGATCAACTGATTGCAACATGACCATTTCGCCTCATGGCAGTAGTAGTCGATCTTCATCCAGAACATCACATAAGAGAATGCACTGTTCACGTGGTGATACTACAGATGCAAAAATGCAGCAACTATCAGATAGTGAACTTATTGAAATAATTGTTGAATCTTTATCAAAAGCAGAAGAAAAGCTGCAATAATCCGATATTAACGATGAACAAATACTTGACACTCTGCAACAGAACGCATTAATAGAATCGAAATTAAAAAGAAATGAATTTCAGTCTGCCATTAGCTGTCTAAGCACAGAATACAAGGAAATTCTTTCATTGCCAAGCGACAATAGCGATAAAGTTTTACAATTGTAACGTATAAAACAAAACCTTCAACGCGAACTAAAACGTTGGCAATCACATCTTCCTATCTACGGAAGACGCTCGGATATTATTGAAAAATTGAAAATGAATCAAGTTTTGATTTTAAAAGCTGATACTTGTTCAGGAAAGAGTACACAAACAATTCAATATCTATGCGATGCGAATTTTGCTGACGAAAGTAAGGGAACATTGCCGTCTTGAATACTAATTTGTAACATCTAATTACCACCTGACAATTTTAGAAAAAATCATATGTACGCAACCGCATAAATTAGCAACTCTATCTTTAGCGGCACGAGTAGCCGAAGAATATGGATGGAAGATCGGTGAAGAAGTAAGGAAATGAATGATTATATAATATTTATTCTAATTTAATTTTGATGTCTACATGTAAGGTTGCTTTCCAAGTAGCCGGTGATCAACCTACAACTTCGAATGGAACTAAAATAAAATTCGTTACTGATGCACTCTTTCTCAATGAATATCAAAACAGTCCAACGTTAGAACAGTACTCAGTCGTCATTGTGGATGAAGCACACGAACGAGGAGTCGATACCGACATTGTGCTAGCATTAATGAAACAGTGTTTGAGAAAAAGCAAAGATTTAAAGGTTTGTTTAATCAAAATTGGATTTCAAGATTGGTTTTGTTCTATAAATTATTCTTATTTTAGCTAATTGTCATGTCTGGTACGTTAGGCACATGTCTTATTTATGACTATTTTGCAAGTGATTTTACATGTGAAACATTAGAAGTTGGTGGTGGTAGGACCTACCCAATCGAAAATTATTATCTAGGCGATGATTATGATGAAAATTATGTGCAAGCAGCAGTTACAAAAGCTATTGAAATACATAAGCGGATGACATCGGTGATATCTTAGTGTTTTTAGCTGATGAAGATGAAATTGACTTAGCTTTAACTGACTTGAATAAGCAATTGGAATATGATAGATCATACATAGGTTTACCATTGCATGGAAAATTGTCTGAAAAAGAAATTGCACGAATATTTGAAGCGATGCCTAATAAACGTAAAATCATTTTCAGCACCAATGTAGCAGAATCTTCAGTTGCTATAGATGGAATTAAGTATGTTGTAGAAAGTGGAATGGTAAAAGAACAAATGTGGGATGAAAAACGAAAAATTACAGTAGTAAAGTTTCAAAAAACTACAAAAAATTCTGTTGAACAACGACGTGGAAGAGCTGGAAGAACATCGGATGGAAAGGTAAGACAAGTAAAATTTAAATACTAGAAATTTTTGTTCCCTTTTCAGTGCTATCATTTATACACAGTAGAAACTTACGAAGCCATGGAAGAATGTTCACGAGCAGAAATTCTATGTGCACTGCCAGCAATCACTATATTAAAATTAAAGAGTTTAAACATTGATCGTATCGAGTCATTTGAATGGCTTCAGTCACCACCGATTTCTAATTTACAAGATGCTAATCAATTATTGATTTGGTTGAATGCAGTTGATTCACGAGGCGAATTGACTCAGCTTGGTAGAAATATGGCACGACTCGACATTGATCCGAAACTAACAGCCATGCTATACAAGGCACAAGAACTCGATTGTCTATTGTATGCACTGGTTCTAGCTGGGATGCTAACTGTATCACGGAATATTTGGTTGATTAGTGAAGATCAGGATTTCAGAGTCATGTTTTCACGAGCACGTGCGGCATTCAGCCACGAAAGTGGTGATCATATTACATTAATTAATATATATTTAAAATGGAGTTTTTATTGTGCTAAAAATACAAAAAAAAGACAACAACATGAATGGTGTAAAAATAACTGTATTAATGGAAACGCATTACAAATGGCTCACGAATTTATTACCGAGAAAGCCAAACAGATGGGCTATGAAATAGAAATTCTCGATAGTGAAGATTTAAATGACAATGTAATTAATCATCTTTTAAAATGTATAACAGCTGGTCATTTTATGAATTTAGCTGTGTCAAATGGGCCAATGAAACCGGGCTATAAAATTATTTCTGCTTTCTCGCAAACGACTGAGGAATCAGTAGTAGCACGTACATTTCATACATCGACTTTGTCGTTAAATGATCAAAACCCAACATATGTTTTATTTAATGAATTATTAAATCTTCATGGAACGAATTATCTCGCAGTATTATCTTCAATTGATCTCAATTGGTTAAAATCTGTTTCAGAAGATTGGTATAAAGCTGTAAATGGAGCTAGTTTACATACGATTTCTCATGAAAGCTTTACATTCGAAAATATAGGAGCTGGCCTATTGCAAGTAATCGTCGGCAAACATTCTTGTCATGTGAATAAACTTGAAGATATCACTCAAGCCACTATTGGTATTGATGATAAAAAATCAAACTTAACAATATATTCACGTCCAGCTAATTTAAATAAAGCAAAGAAAATCGTTCAAGAAATTATTCAGAAGGAAAAACAAAAATCACTGTTAGAAACAGAAGAAATGACCATTGTAGGAAGAACTCGAATTTTAATGGGCGCAGGGGGTGTTAGTCAAATGATTCTATTCGCAGGTGAGTATCTTAGAATCACCATCGAAAAACTACCGTCAAGAATAACAGAAGAACGAATTAAAACGTTGTGTGAACCATTCGGAGAGAGTAAGTATTTATTTTAATCTGCCTTTCAATATTGAAAAACTGAAAATTACTCATTTTTTTTAATTCCTACTCAAATTATTTTAGTTCGTAAAATTGATTTTATTCGGAAAGGTGAGCATAGTTCGTGTGTTGCAGTCACGTATGCAAAAGTCGAACAAGCACATTCTGCTTTCTGTGGATTAAATGGTTACATTGAACAAGGCCGTGAAATAGTCGTAACTGATTCATGTGTGAAAACCGGACGCAACTATAGATAGCCGAAATTGTCGTCTGGAAGCTATATGGTATCTGACAAAGTCCACTGGTAACGGAAGGATTATTTTTGAAAAAGACAACAGTGCACGTGATGCTCATAAACTATTTAGACGATTGGGTTATGAATGTCGTTATGAGCATTTAACTAATTTACCCAAACTAAAAGTTACTTATTATCTTCTTGAAAGTAATCGAAAAGCTTTCGTAAATTTTCAATCATCCGATGATGCACAAAATGTTTGTGGCCAAATACATCGTCCAGAGACGTTTAAAATTATAAAAAATAAACAAAATCATCGAGCATCGCTCCTATTAGAAGGCTTTTCAAAAGACGACGATGACGAAGATCTACGCAGTCGTTTTGAAGATTGCGATGGTTTCGTTGGTGTGCAGGTTTTACGCGGAAGAAAAGAGCAAATATTTGCAAGACCTGCTTCGGCAGAAGAAGATATTAAAGCAATGTTTAATCCTTATACATCATTTCAACGAGATACAATATCATTTAACAGAAAAATTTTCAATGGTAAAGTAGAAGCTTTTGTTGAGTTTTTAGAATCAGCAGAATTAAAACAAGCAGTTGAAGAAATGAATGGAAAAAAAGATATTATCGGTCGTGGTAAAGTAAGATTATCGGAGTCAGTTCAACAAAGGAGTGACGAAATTAAGACGAAGAAAGAAAATGAATATGTTGTTTATTTTCAACATCTCGATCTGTCACTTGATAAATATGATCTTATTAAAATTCTGAAAGAAAATCAATTGTATGATGATGTAAAAAATGCGGTAGTTTATCGGCAAAAAATGAAAAATGAAAATTCGACAGCAGCGATGACCAACAAAGCTGACTCTGACGTAGAATTTGCATTAGCGAGTCTTCGTTCTATGTTTCTTAGTACAGCAGGTTTATTTCGATCAATACCTGACTATCAGATATCATCACACACACCCGATGGAACTGTCACAGCATTGATCCTTTTCAATGATCCAATCGATGTAACAACAGTTATACAAACCTATGATAACCAAGTAATTCGACTATTTAAAAATTCAAGTAAACTACATCTTCTTCCTCCAATTGCACACGAAATATTTATTAATGTAGCTGTGAGAAAAGCTATTCCTAATAAGATTCAAGAAGCTATTCAATATGTTCGCGAGAAATGTAAGAGGATTCATGTCAAAACTGCATATCTAGGCAAGGAAGAAAAAACAATTACAATGAAGATATGCATCGAAGGTGACGATGTCGAACAGATCACAATGGCTAAAATTGTATTCGATACATTGATGAAAGGAATAGAATATAGATACAAAGACGATGCAGAGAAGGGTGTGGGTGTGGGTGTGGGTGTGGGTGTGTGGGTGTTGAATCTCCTATACACACACACCCACACCCACATCCTTCGTATGTTACTATAAACTATTTTCAACGAGGCTTGTAAGTTCACATGAGCGAGTAAATATTTTGGGGAAGTAGTTTAAGCTACTATGATGATATGAGCAAAATGCAGGTGATCACGTGTTTTTTTCTTTAAATTAAACGAACACAATTGTGAGATTTGTCTTTATGACTGGTGTCAATTTTTTTATCTGCAGAATTTGAATCAACAAGAAATAATGATGCATACTCTTCGAAAGCATAGAATCAATATGAAATCGACTACGACTATTCATTAGTCTATGTAAAAACAGTAAATTCTCTTGTGATTGGAAAGCTTGGAGATCAAATTCTTTTTGAACTTCAGGCTGAATAGCGGCATCATTTTTTGGTTTTGATTGCTGTAATATTGCTTGACTATCATCCTTATTTTTGATTCGGTTTGCTTTTGTCTCCATTGGGTGCTGTAACGTTTTCTAGTCATCAGAATTTTCGTTTCGGTTAATATTGTTGGATGTCATTTTGAGTTCGAGTAAAATTGCTTTCTGTTCATAAATAAGCTATGGACATGGGTGTTGTTATGGTGATTAGTGTTTTCAGGCATTTGCATCTATGAAAGAAAGGAACGTTCTACTTCATTCACGCAATTCTATTACAATAAATGCACTGTCAAGAGGCTTCTTTGAGATTTTATTTGTGTGGATGGTTTTATTGGAAACATATTTCAAAACAACACGTTACAAGTTCGAGCAGAACTGTAAATTAATATCTGCTACTGTCGATAATAATTTTATAAAATCACGTCTTATCGGTTTTTCGAATTTGCAGCGTTTCTTTTTCCCTTTACTATATTTTTCTTTTTGAATTTTCTTCTTTATTCGTTTCATTTGATTTCTCACGTCAATCCATTCTGGATGTTCGATTGGTGTTGTTTTTTCTAAAATAGTTTTCGATCGTTTAAGATAATGTATTGCTCTTCTGAAACAACCTATTTTTGAATATACTAATGCTAATATTTTCAATGTTCCAGCCATATTTGGATGATTCAGTGTCTGTATTTTTCTTCGTAATCGGCGTGCTTTTAATATATATCGTAATGCTAACAAATGCTTATTTAAATGACTGTAATTAAGTGCCATATTTTCAAATATAGCAACAAAATCTGGATGATTACGTTGAAGGCATTTTTTTTTCATTGTAATTGCTCGTTGATAATAGTCTATTCCAAGTTGATCAGCGCCTACACTGGAAAATCCAATGCCAATATCAACTAATACAGAGCTCTTTTCATTTAATTCTGTCTCTGGTAATGTCCTACTGTACATTTGTAATGCACGCATTGAATACATTGTTCCTTCGCTTGGATTATCCATGTCGCTTAGGGTTTTTCCTATCAATGATAAACAATCAGCAATATCAGAATGATATTTTGGTAAAGTTCTAGTTCGTATATCTAAGGCTTGTTGAAATTGAACTAATGCATCTTCATATTTGCATTGTAAACGATAAGCATTGCCAAGGGCAATTAATGCAAGGCATTGTGTTATATGATTCTGATCAGCGTTTTTTTCATGGATTTTTAACGAACGATTATAGAATTCTAAAGCTCGATCATAGTCACCTTTTTGTTCATAACATCCTCCGATACAAAGTAACGCTCGAGCTATTTCCAGGTGTGGCTTTTCATGAATCTGTTCAAGTAGACGGAGTGCAGGCGTAAAATATTCGAGTGCTTGATCGTTTTCATCTCTATCAAAATAAAAAATACCCATATGAATAAGAACACGAGCTTCGTCTTCAAAACGTTTTGATTCCATTTTAGTGAGTATTTCATACGCAATTTCATAATGTTTCCATTCATTATTCTTATCGCCTCCTATTGCCAATGCTCTAGCCATATGTACATGAATTAAAGGAATGTCTTCGTTTTCAGGATTTCCAATGAGTTTATTAAAGTACGCCAATGACGATTCATATTTTCCCATATTGTACAATGATACTCCAAACATAATTTTTGGACTCACATCGACATTTAACTCAAGATGATCATCGATATACTTTCGTACAATTGTTCGACTTTCATCCGTAGCAATCATTTTAAAATACCATACACCATTATCAGTTTGTTTTGGCTTATCGACTAACTGTAATGTAGCACCAATATCAAATAAAACTTCATTTTCATCTCGAAATGTACTTTCCGATGTAACATCAGCAAAAATAACTCTATCGCCTAATTTTTCAACATCACATTCGATTTCTAATATTATTGACAATTTATCAGATGTTAGTGTCGGTTCTCCGGCGTACATTTTTGCAACACCTGAACTAAGACTTGTCGATAGATATCCATTCATAGATATCAATTGTTGTTCATCTTTAGTCATTTCATCGAATTCTAATTGTGTCAAACGAAGACCACGATATAATGTTACTGATTCACCATATTCTTTAAAAATTTTATGTTTCAAGGTCAATGCTGAATATAAATCTTGAATGAAATACCGAAACGTGTACATTTGTTCGACATCTTCGGTTCGTAATGCTTTATTAATTAAACGATAGACAAACGAATTTTTTGTGTACCATTTTATAGCCTCTTCAGATCGATAATTTTGTTCGAATTCGTTAATATTTTTTAATTCTTGAATATTGTTACGATAATAATGTCGTGATGCATCTAACATTTCCTTTTTGGCATGTTCATCATGTGGTAACCGTATAATAGTATCTTTAAAAATATGAAACCAAATAAATTCGGCCGACGTATCGGTCAAGTTGCGAACGTACCGTTGATGACTTCGATAGAAACTAAACGATAGAAGTTGATCTTGAATTAATTTCATATGTTTTCGTATTGCACTAATCATATCATCGTCATTTGAAAAAATACCCGTTATCTTTTCATTGAATTGGTCGTATTTATTAGTTTTAGTGGAAAAAATAAATATACCATCGATCTGTCGAATATTTTCTATTCGAGAGAAAACATTGGTTAAATTTTTACCTGTAGTAACAAAAATTAATCATATTAAATTTAAAAGCACAACAAAATGATCAACATCGTTCGTCTACATTGATTAGATTTAATCATCTCTTCAAACTCAATCTTATTGATGCAGACAANCAATACTTTAGATTTACCAATAGTGACTATGTACGCGCAGCTAAAAGTTTTTACTATGCAACAGTTGTTTGTACAGGAATGAGAAGCTGTAGAATTCTGAATTTCGAAAAAAACAGCTGTAGTTATCTAAATTCTAAAGAAGATAGTGAAACAGTTTGATATTTACGGAGATATCTAATGATAAGCACGATGAAAAAACTGAACAAGATGTATCTAAGTTCGAAATATACGTTACATTTAAACAAGCATGACAAAATGTCAAACACAGTCAAAGGAATAAAACATTTTCATCGAATATTTACTCGCTAAATTTGGGATCATATATCAGTAAATTCATATTCTATAAACTTTTAATTAAAATAAACATGTGAAAAGAATAATACCCGAAATAACTCATAGTATTTGCCAAACGACTGTAGTGAAGTGTAAAAAAACAAAACAAACGAGACAGAAAACAAGAGAGAACAGTGAATGTTTTTTTCTTCCGGAACACTTGTGAATCGATATATTTTCTCCAATAGAAAACAACCGTTTGAGGTTTTCTTCGACGAGTTTGTTTGTGATCTGATGTCATCTTGTGATCTGAAAAATCAACATTCATGATTTTGAGACAATAAAAAAATATGACTAATTCTTATCAGACCACTGAGGTTTATTGATTTTTCTTTTTAGCAGAAACGACAATTCATAGAGTCATGGTTGCATGGCCAGGTGTACGTAAGACCAATTAGACAGGCGTGCATATATCCTAACCATATTCTTTTTCAATTCGAAGAGGGATTGCTGCTATTTCTATCAGTGTGAAAAATGTAGCAAACACAGTTTCTCGTTCTTTTTCAATCACAGCAGTTCTTTGCACTTAAATCATCTGACACCTTCGTCACAATATGCTCTGATTTCGTTTAAAATAAAATTTGCTTTTAAGCTTGAAACTATGTTCGTATCATAGAACAGTTTCCCACTGGCATTTCGTAAATATAAAATATTCACTCTTAATTAGGGGTGGCAATTTACGTTAATTTAATATTAAGTGTTAAGTTTTAACTTAACACTTAATATTAAGAAAAAAACGTTTACATTAGCGACTTAATTACTTAATATTAAGCGTTAACGCAATACTTAATTTTTAATATTAAGTGTTAACGAAACACTTAATTTTAAAAATTAAGTATTGCTAGAGCACTTAATATTAAGAAAAAAATGTGTAGATTGCCCACTTAATTACTTAATATTAAGTGTTAAAGCAATACTTAATTTAAAAAATTAAGTGTTTCGTTTAACACTTAATATTAAAAATTAAGTATTGAGTTAACACTTAATATTAAGTAATTAAGTCGCTAATGTAAACGTTTTTTTCTTAATATTAAGTGTTAAGTAAAACCACTTAATTAACTCTCTTTATTAACTCAAATTAAAATCAACGGTCCACCTCTACTCTTAATTATGCAATTTTTCAGATTGAATTTAAGGGTGTGGGTGTAGGTGTATATAAGCAAGACACACCCACCCACATCCACATCCAGCTCTACGAAAACGGCATAAAGAAAACCTTATTAACTAGTTCTGATGGTTTTTCTCATACTCAATATGAACAACCCACATGATAGTACTACCTCCCAGCGGATTGAGTATAAGAAAAATGTTTGGAAGACTTTTTGTTTTCTCCATTGGGAATTTGTGGAAAGCGATGGCGCAGAGCTTTCGATGATGTATCTTTCAAAAAACAAACCAAGGCGCTATCATTTTCTCAAGTCGAGATGTATATGAAATAAGAAATGCCGCAAAACGTTTGGCACACCCTGTATTTATGATCAATAAATTAATTTTGATTGATTATTTTGCACTGAAAATACGATTAACAACAGTTTACAAAGTCGCGTTATTTAAGTAAAAGTAAAAACTTATTTGATAAAGTAGTACGATCAGGCCAAAATGTTTGTTTTTATCATTGTAAAGAGTTTTTACTGTTATAGAGGGAAAACTGCTTGAAAAAGATTAAAAATGATCTCAGTACCAAATTTTACAAAAGATAGTAGACAACTCATTATTTTTCATCTAGACAAATATTGTATATTCATATAATTTCTATTAGTCAAATTGAGACTTGTATTTATTATATGAAATAAACTGTTCATAGATCAGAATCGACTGATTTCTATAAAAATCTATGTAATGAATCTGTTTGCTATTCATCGTTGTATTAAATGCTCATCAAACCTTTAATATTTGATTTAATATCTCCTTCTCAATAATTAATTCTCTGCTTAAAACTCTTCAAAAATCAGAACATAAGCAATTATTTAAACCCTATTCTTTTTATTTTCAAATGACGATTTCATTCAGTGTTGTTGTACTCATTACTTGTACAAATAAACAATAAATGATCAAGTAATTTGTTATTTATTATGATCGAAATACATTTTAACTTTCTTACCGCATTTATTTTTATTTAAATGATTTATACAAGACTAAGAAAAACCACAGAGAGAGAGAGAGAAAGGGAAAATAGGAATCAAAATTTTGTGAACGAACAGTTAGATCACATGCGTATAGAGATTTTAATTTAGTACAATTGAGATGTGTTTCATCGTTGGTAAAATTATTTGTTACACTTGCTAATGTACTGTATCTAATTTTGAGATTCGTTAAACAAGGTAAAGATGTCTTTCTTTCAGAAAGAAATTGTGTGACATAGTCATTGTCTGCATCAATAAGATTGAGTTTGAAGAGATGATTAAATCTAATCAATGTAGACGAACGATGTTGATCATTTTGTTGTGCTTTTAAATTTAATATGATTAATTTTTGAAGAAAAGGAAAATCTTCAAAATAATTTTTCTTCAAATGGATATCTATCACGCATCATTAACATTCGAACTTTATTGAATTGACCACCTTGAAAACAGTTACTCAGAAATAAGCAATCATCAAATAGATATGGAAGAGAATAAACATGACAATCGCCTACATTATCTATAAGTGGTTTAGTAGCACATGTACCAACTGATTGAAAACCTCGTTTAATGAAACTATTCCGAATATCATCATTCGATGGAAGATCAATTTCAATACTACTAGTATTAATAATATGAGCGTGTATATTGAACATAAATTTGTTTAGTCGTGGCAGATACTTAAGAGCTTGTTCATATAATTGATTACCATCGATATAAGATCTTTCAGCTATTATTGCTGAGAGTTTTAACGATAATTCTTCAAGATTTAACATTTGACGAAGTAATGGAACAACCAGTTTATCATAAAAGTACAACTGCTGCTCTCCTACTAATGAGAAACATTTCAATTTGACAAGTTTTTGGGTGTGTGGGTGTGGGTGTGGTTGTGGGGGCGGGTGTGGGTGTCAGGGTGTGGGGGTGTGGGTGCATATACGTATGTCAAACTTGAAAGTTGAATTCAATTGAAAATTGAAAGTTTCAATGTTTAACTTTTAAGCCAGTAGCATTCTGAAGAATCGTGACTCACACATATATCGCTATGAATTGAAAGTTGAAAGTTGAAATTCTCTATTTTCAACTGAATTCAAGTTTCAAGTTTGACACTACTGTGTGGGTGTGGGTGTGGTCGTCGGTAAATATAAAAATAGCAACCTTAGGCATAGCAACACCCACACAGACACCCTCAAGATCGAAAATAAAAGATCATCAAAACTTTACCTTGATCTTGAATATGAGTATAATCTAGAAGGAATCGGTTTTGTCGCGAAGTTGGATTCAACATAAACAACGGCTGAATGTTATGAATATACAGGGAAATACGACTACAAGTATCTCGTTTAAATTGACCATACTCCAGCAAACAGTAGTCAATCAAGATTGGGATAGACAAAGAACTTAGCGAATACTTCCCTTTTATGATTCAAATATGATGCATTCACACCTAAAGAACTTATCGAATATTCAGAAAAATTATTTTATTTCCTAAACTTTTGGTTATTCTAAAAAAAACATTTTTAATTATTCTAAAATTTCAATTATTTTATTGTAATATTTTGCTCATTTATTCATTTTAATTGTATTAATATCTTATTCATGATTGTATTCCTACTTGTGCTAAATTTGTAATGCAGAGCCCTGAAGAGTGTTTCATTATTTTAATTCAAGCACATTTAAATATTTAATATTTAATTTTCGACTTCGATCGGTTGCTGAAAAGCAAGAGTTTAGACTAGCAGATTGATTTGTCTTTTCGTTAAGAGATAGGTTGATCTGTTTTTGAATCTGACCAATCCATATCAGTCCATCGTATATGAAAAGTCAGAGAACATATCATTATGAAATGAAAATGAATACAAAAAATTAAATATTCACTCCCACTTTTAATTGTCCGAACTTTCGTAACTGCTACGTCACTCAATTGTTCATCACCTGTTAGATTTCGTATAAATTCGTTTTAATTAACTTTAACATAGAAAATAAATGCTTAGCACCAGCGACTGACACAGAAATAAGCCCGCCCCCCCCCCNCCCCCCCCCCCCCACCGCCCCCCCCCCCCCCCCCCCCCCCCATCAATACGGCACTGACACTCGTTAACCAATTTGGTTCTAACACACAGTTACTCTTACATTAGCTTTTTGACGTCTTCGAGACGGATAATTTTATCTGTATCAACAGTAGACAAAAGTCTGAAAAATCGGGATTTATTAACTTGTTTATAAAACTGTATTAGAAAAGTTATGCGTTTCATACAGTAATTATTCATTTTATTGAGAACACGGATTCTACAGTTTGATCAAGCGTGGAAATGTATCATATGTTTGTTTTACCACATCAGTGCACTTCGTTGAATAAGTACTAGTCTTTGAGCATTCCGTTTGTGACTTTAAACACATATAACAAAACCAGTGTTCACAATTAGGACATTGATTATATTTGCAGCAATTACCATATCCGCCGTCCTTAAAGCAGTTGGGACAGACGCGCTTATTGGGTACTTGTAGGCTTGGGTTAGCAGCGAGAGGAACAGAATCTTGAGTAGTCATAATTTCATAGGAACAGTCTTTCCGACACGTATATTTTTCGTTTTTCATTTGTCCATCCAGCCATTCATTGTTACAAAAGAAGCAAAAAATTCGCTTACATTGCATGCATTGTTGTTTTGCATACATAGTCTCGTTGACCATGGGGCTGCCGCAACTGCATACTTGATAGTCGATATGTTTCGGAAGGGTACTTATTTGATCCAAGCAATCAAGAGTTTGAATGAAATCAGGCGACTTGAAAAATTCCATGTAATTAATGGCTTTCTTGCATCCCAAGCATTCTAATTTAAATTTAGATGCCTCGAAACTTCGAATGAAGCAACCGGCACAATATTTGTAACAACACAGAGCAACGCACAACGTAGTTTCACCATGTGCCGCGCACTGAGCCATTACCTTTAGAATTTTCCCCACTTCGGACGGTAGTTCATTACGCACGATATTTTTGAGAGTGACCATATCAACATCGGAACCACCCACGCATCGTTGCAATGGATATAATGTTGATCCATTTATTATTAAGTGCTTGTTTTTGTTAAATTCCGATTCATTTTGAATATTCAAGTCAATTCCATTGACTATAAATCGGTAGTCTTCCAATTTTCCGTTCGGAGGCGATGGAAACAATCGCTCGAATAATACCTTCAAGTCGGATAATTTAAAATTTTGCTGCAGCTGCCCAACAGTCTTTTTCATGGTGGTATTTGGCTGAAAGAAGTAAACATTAAACATACTGTTAAAGTTGGCAGCGATTAGTAATATGAAATTCTGTTGATGAAAAAGCGTAAATAAAAGAAGAATACATGACTGCTAGTGATTCTCGTATTTATGTTTCACCAGTGGGAATATACAGTGTGGGTATTTTAGAACACATTGCGATGTGAGCTGCTAAGAAACGCAATCATTTTTTCCTTCTTTTGTGTTATTACTCAATTCCATGCGCTATTACGACGTCAGTTCATCCACATCATCTTTGCTTATTCTTCTCTTGTGTAACTAAAATGCAACATCGACGAAGGTAAGCGTGTGTTAAGAGCGATGATACATTTCGCTCTATTTCAACATTTTCATCAGATGGTTGTGGCTTGCTAGCTATTCTGAATGAACCAAAAACGCCGCATACGCATTCATAGTTGAGTTTCATTTTATCTTTTTGACTTACTTATTTGTATTTTTGGGGTGAAGGTAACGGTGGTGCGGGTGTGGATAAATGTAAAAGCTGTTGGCGCAATCCCTCTGGGATTAAAAATATGAAACATGACACAATCACTGCAGAAAATCACATGTAGAAGGCGTATTGAAGGGAGTTCTTTGTTGATTTGGCGAGACAGCTCGTTTGGCGCTACCAGTGATGATCTACGCTAGGCTGGAACAGCGTGTCTCATGGACTGTGCTACGTTTGAAGCTTGTCTGTCACGCTGTGATGATCTCTGAAGATTTTGTGTAACAGTCGGTGATGGGCACTCAATTCATATGGTACTAATTAGACAAATAATTAAAGCGTATGCTACGATAAGTAGTCATTTCTGAAGATCGTCTGTCACGGCCTGTGATGACCAATTAAGCAATTGAGCCGGCGGTTACGGTTTCCAATGGTCTCTTAGCCTGTCGGTAACGGTCTATGGGAGGGGCCGGGGGATGGGTGCAAAATTTCTACCCTAAACGCTTCAACACTCCTTTCAGGTCGTGTTTCACAAAAGCACACCCACACCCCATTTATTATTAATACAAAAAACATTCGAATATATGTTTTTTAAATTTCTAATGAATAGCATATCATCAATAATATTGTCATGAGGGAAAAGACAAGCGGTATTCATTTCGTACGAAAATAGATAGTCTAAAATTGTCTTCATAATCTCACTCATATAATTAATACTCACAAGCAGTCTAGAAAAATTCGATACACGAAGTGAATTATTGGATTTGAATAAATGTTGATCTTTTTATGCAGGCAAGAAAATTTCAATCTATAACTGAGTGGATAGTTCTTCCAAAATATGCTTTCAATAATAGATTTGAAACAGTTTTGTATAAATATGGGAACTTTAACTAAACATATTCTCATGGTTCAAATTTAAATCTTATACAAATTATAACACAAGACATTAGTTTTTACTTTTATTAACACAATGAAGACCAGGTGTATCATTACGACCTATAGCCTTACACAACAAAGCAACTATATGTTGAAAGAAAAAAAAAACCGGTTCATGGGAACAACTATAAAAATAATAAAAAATAACTTATAACATGTTTTTAATTGAAACTTCCTAGAGTATCTGTATTTGATTTACGTTTTAAAACAATTATCGACGTTTGGCAGAACATTGAAGACAACTTTTACGATCATCTTTTTTTATTGTTTTTACTGGATGCTATTAAAAATGAAAATTTAACTTTTTTATTTGATTTTGTGTTCAAAATTCAGTCAAAATTTATGTTTAGACTTGTACTTACGTTTGCTTTATTACCTTTGCGTAAGTGCCTATATCGTGCTGTACCATTTCTAAATATACATATAAAGATACACTGATCTTACAAAACCATCCTTACTTATTTGATATCCATTTCAAAATGAATTGATTGGTTGTAGTGTTAAAATCTCGTGCCATTTGTTTTCTATGCGCCATCATTTTCTTTAATTTTTTGCCCATTTCATTAATTTTATCATCGTATTTTGCTAACATTTTTTTATTTTTCTCCTGCATTTCTTGTAATCATTGCGGTTCAATATCCACAGAATGTTCGGCAGCATGTTGAGGTATTTTATCATTAGATACATCATCAGATCGGGACAATACACCATCTTCAGGTGGGTAAACAAGTTCATGTGCATCATCTTCATTTTCATCATTATCTCGGCTTTCTGCACCACCTTCATTTACACCGTCAAATGAAGTCATAACATAGCATGATTATATTTTTCAGCAAAATCTTCAATCTAAATAAAAAATAAACGATACAAAATTGAACAAAATTAATTATACTGTTATGATCAATGCTTTAAAAGCGAACTAAAGTAAGATTTAAAATCTCTTACATCTAGCGAAACGTCACGCAGATAGTCAACACTTTCAACACCCTCTATAAAAATTTGCCAAAAAAAAGAAATAATGAATATTTTAACGAACAATATTAATTTTAGTGTTGTTTAGTATGAATTAAGTTTCGATTTTGTATTGTTGTTAATGGTGGTCGATCAATTGGTGATAGTGCAAATAATACTTCATTATTTGCCGGTGATGATCGTTTTTTCATTTGATGTTGCTGGTAATGATGGTGTATCATTTGGTGGTGCTGGTAATGATGGATGCACTGGATCCATTTGTAATCTAAAATATTCGACAATGTTAGCCCCTCTACGCTGTATTTATTACTGTCGTTTTTAGAAAGGTTGCTTTCTGAGAACAGCAGTAACTCAATTTAATGGTAACATTATTCTCAAACTTACTTATTGAAGTTGTTGGTGAAATGATCCAAGTTCTCCTGCACGTTTTTATCGGCTAAAAGTAGAAAAGTACAAGATAAACGCACACATATCAAAACATGTCTTTTTTTCGATTTGGTCATTTTCACCTGTTCCCTCGATATCTTCAATCAAAGTACAAAGTTCATGAAGCGACTGAAAATTGACGTATACTTACGATCTAATTGAGAATTCTTTGTTTTTTTTCTTGGTTGGATGAAGTTTCTTGCCAATTGTTGAATTAATCATCCCTATGTAAAAAAAACATACTGATCAAACCTTGATCGAATTATGCGTCTTTTGTCTTTCCAAAGGTAAAAATTCAGAGCTAGGCAACTCTTGAATTCAAGGGGGAAAAAGCGGCTCCTGGCTCCTTGGATTCTCGCGGCTCCTCATGGATTCTGGCGGATTCTATGGATCCTAGTAGATTCTGGCGGATTCTGTGGATCCTAG